AAATTGGGGAATCTTCTGTTAGCGATGGGTCGGCCAGTCAATCGACTCGGTACCGAGAAACAGCGCGCAGTCGTTTTCCTCCGGTCGAAGCGTGAAGGGCGCGTGCACGGCACAGGCGCGTACTTTCGAGTAGACGAAGCTGCAGTGCGTGATAGGGCTCAGCCTTTAAGATGACGTCATGTGCGTGTATGTTGCAATGGCTTTGACGGCGAAGTGTGAAATCTGTATTGATCACCATAGATTGTCAGACATTCTCCGAAGCGCGCTCTAGCCCCACCCCGGGAAAGTACGCGTATGTGAGTGTTGCGTCTGCCCGACGCACCAAGACTTGATCTCACGAGCAGCTGGCCACCACGTCGGCGCTCTGGGAAATTGGGGAATCTTCTGTTAGCGATGGGTCGGCCAGTCAATCGACTCGGTACCGAGAAACAGCGCGCAGTCGTTTTCCTCCGGTCGAAGCGTGAAGGGCGCGTGCACGGCACAGGCGCGTACTTTCGAGTAGATGAAGCTGCAGTGCGTGATAGGGCTCAGCCTTTCGGATGACGTCCTGTACAGTATCGGCCCGCTCATAAGAAACGCGTTTTCAAGAAAGGCAGGCTCAGGATTTTCAAAAAATAAGAAATTTGGCGTAAGAAAGAAGGCTCGGCAGCCGGTGGCACACTAAATCCTAGACGATGGCTAAGAAACAGCCATGGTCAATGTTAGCGACAAAATAAGAAACCCAGCCTCGGCCGAGATTTCGGTTTCTTGTGAGAGGGCCGGTACTGTATGTAAGTGGGGTTTGGAGCGCAAATGGAAGGAGACGCAGTGTTCCGACCCGCTCTCTTCATTAATAGCAACAATGAGCACAGGAGGCGCGGTGTTCCGATCCGCTATTTTTCTGTCTCTGCGGAACCCGAAATCGCCAAGCCTTGCGTTTTGTACGACGGCATCTGACCATCGATCCTTGAAATTTGTCCCCCATTTGCATCACCCGGGGAGGCCCACGCGCGGAGTCGGGTACAGCGGCCGGCATACCTGTCGGCCTGGTCTTCCTGGTGTTGAAGTCGTTCGGGCGGCTTGTTCTACCTGGTCTCTCCCGGTCTTCATCGTGACCCACTCGTGTCGTTCGGGGCGGCTTCGTTACTGTCAACTTCGAGCAAAATTCTTGAAATGTGTGTAAACACATTCCACTCCGCTAGACGTAAGACATAGATGCGATGGTCTCTCTTATCCTAGGAGCTGTCTCGTCCCACAAACTCCGATGTTTACCGAACCATTAACATCCCTGCGGTGAAGCCCACAGAGCAAGAAAGGTTCTCGTCCGTCTGGCTCCCACAGGGAAACACCCGAGACCCATCCACTTGCTGCAGCACTTTGACGTGCGAAACTCGTCGACCAAAACGACCGGACATGGCACACCCAGAGCTCTGATCAACGCTTTCCGAGGGCAAGCCCCCCTAACTCCCCCTAAATTGTGCTGTAAGGATGCGTGTTTGATGCAAGATCTTGGTCAAAGCTACCCTCAGACCTAACGCGCGGCCGTCGAGACCACTCGGACCCCGTTACGCCCGAGAGGATTTGTGCGATGCCTTATAAGCTCAGACACCAGTCTGCGCACGCAGTTCGGAGTCTTGTTCTGAGATTAATGATGCTGGCCAATTCATTCGGTTCAATCGCTGTCTCCGAGTTTTCCAAGAGAGTGCGTCAGACTTCGCTGTGCCCTGGATGCCGCGTGCGCTGGCGATAACTGCCCGTGTTTTTCAACCAAACAAAGGTACACGGTACATGTGCGTATGCTTTATTCAAACCAGACGCACAAATTTGGCGAGACGATTGGCAGGCGTGAGTACGCAATTGTCACGGGTCACGCTCATCAGAGTGTCGTGGCCCCCGACTGTAGCGGCATCGCCTCTCATTGTGTTGTGGCCGCGGGCTGCAGCGGCTGTTTCTGTCAACTTGTAGTCGCCTCAAACTCCGGCGGCATCGCCTGCCAAGTTGTGAAGGCCTCGGACTGCAGCGGCATCGCCTGTAAAACTGTCGTGGCGATTGAACTGTGGCGGCATCGCCTGTCAACTTGTTTTGGTCTCGGACTTTGGCAGCATCCACTGCCGACTTGTGCTCACCTCGGACCGTGGCGGCATCCCCTGTCAACTTGGTGTGGCTTCCGACTGTAACGGGATCATCTGTCAAAGTGTTGTGGCCTCGGACTGTGGCGGCATCGCCTGTCGATCCTCTTTCGTGAACTCGTTTTCTTATGATATGGTCAAAAATCTCTTGTCCAAGTTGTCGTTGTTCGGACGGCCCAACGCTGACACAGCCTCGGACTGTGGCAGCATCGTCTGTCGACTTCTGCTGGCCTCGCACTCTTGCGACATCGCCTGCCGACTCTGCTTCGTGAATGTTAGTTAATGATTTGGTCAAAAACGACTTGTTGTTGTTCGGACTATCCAACACCCACGCGGCGTCGGACTGTAGCGACATCGCCTGTTAACTTGTTGTGGCGTTGGACTGTGGCGGCATCGCCTGTCGACTTGTGGCAGCCTCCAACTCCGGCGGCATCGCCTGTCTTTCTTGTTTGTAAAGGGATGTTTGTGAATGGATCGAAAACGTCTTGTCCAAGTTGTTGTTGTTCGGACGATCTTATGATCATGATGTCTCGGGCCGTAGCGGCATCGGCTGTCAATTCGTTGTGGTCTCGCGTATCTGGCGGCATAGCCTGTCGACTTGTGGTGGCCTCTTACTGTGGTGGCATCGCCTGTTGACTTGCTGCAGCCTCTGACTGTGGCGGCGTCGCCTGTGGACTCTCTTATGAATGCTTTTGTCATGTTTTGGTCAAAATGTTGCGTCCAAGTTGTTGTTGTTCGGGCGACCCAACACCCACGCGGCCTCGGACTATGGCAGCATCACCTGTCGACTTGTGCTGACCTCGGACTGTGGCGGCATTGCCTGTTGACTTGCTGTAGCCTTTGACTGTGGCGGCGTCGCCTGTCAGCTTGTGCTGGCGTCGGACTGGAGCGGCATCGCCGGTCGACTCTCTTTCGTGAGCGAATATGCATGATTTGGTCGGAAAATTCTGGTTGTCGTTCGGACGATGCAACGCCCACGCGGCCTCGGACTGTAGTTGCATCGCCTGTCAACTTAGTGTGTTCGGACGATCCAACGCCCACGCGGTCTTGGACTACAGCGGCATTGGCTGTCAACTTGTTGTGACCTCGGACTGTATCGGCATCGCCTACCGACTTGTGCTGGCCTCGGACTGCGACGGCGTCGCCTGTAAAGTTGTTGTGGCCCCCGACTGTAGCTGCTTCACCCTTCGAATCTGTTTCATTAACGTATTTCCGTTATTTGGGTATAAAGGGCTTGTCCAAGTTGTTGTTGTTCGGACAGTCCAACGCCCACCCGGCCTTGGACTGTGGCGGCATCACCTGTCGACTTTCTTTTGCAAACTGATTTTCTTTCTTTTTGGTCAAAAAAGTCTTATCCAAGTTGTTGTTGTTCGGAAGACCCAACGCCCACGCGGCCTCGGACTGTGGTGGCATCGCCTGTCGACTTGTGGTGGCCTCATACTCCGGCGGCATCGCCTGTCGACCTTTTTTTGTATACTGATGTTCACTCTTTGTTCGAAAACGTCGCGTCCAAGTTGTTGTTGTTCGGACAGCCAACGCCCACGCGGCCTCGGACTGTACGTGCACAGGAACTCACGGTTGTCTCATGAGCAACACTTGTTGGCGCGACAAAATGATGCCCACGATCAACAGTCTGCTCACACCGTGCACCAACGGCGACGGTTGCACCAAAATACGCGGGAGGTGCCCGCACAGTGTTTGGAGAGCGTAAAATTGTACAGACGAACACTTTGGCCTGGGACTACCTCTGCTGTCTGTGGTTTCGCCGACACTTATGGCCGCGTTAGACCCGATTCCTCTCAGCCCAGTTGGCAAAAAAAAGTGCTCGGTAGGACGCGCGAAGCTTTCGCTAGGCTAAGGGCGCGACCCAGGCATGACCTGAGGTGGCCAATACTCTACAACGCGATTGCTCGCGATAGTTCGCACAGACGAACGAAAAAGTGCTTGATGGGATACGCGAAATTTACGGTCGCCTAGGGGTGCGACACAGCGATGTCCCTGGGGTAGCAATGCCCTACAACTCGATTACTCTTGCAGACGAACGGAAAAATTCTCGATCGCGCGGCGGCGCAATTTTTTGATCGCCTAAGGGCGTGAGCTGCGGTAGCAACACCTAAAAACCGGATTGCTCTCACAGGCGAACAAAAATATTGCTCAAAAGACGTGCATTTTTTCGGTTGCTCAGGTGCGCGACGCGGCGAGGTCTCTGCCGTAACAATGCCCTAAAACCAGAATGCTACCGCATACAAACGAAAAAAAATCTCGACGGGACGCGCGAATTTTTCGTCGGTAATGTGCGCGACACATCGAGTTCCCTGCGGAAGCGATGCCCCATAACCAGAATGCTTCCGCACATTTCTGCGGTAGCAATGCCCCAAACCTCGATTGCTCTCGCAGATCGCTCAACATGTTGCGCAAATTCTCTGATCGGTCACGTGAGCAGTGATACTACGTGTTTTTGCGGTAGCAATGCCCCAAACCTCGATTGCTCTCGCAAATCGCTCGACAGTTCGTGCAAATATGTTTATCAGTCAGGTGAGCAGTGATTCGCGTGTTTTTGCGGTGGCAAAGCCCCAAAGATCGATTGCTCTCGAGAATCGCTCGACAGGTCGCGCAAAATTTCTGATCGGTCGGGTTCGCGGTACAGTACTGTATTTCTTCGGTGGCAATGGCCAAAACCTTGATTGCTCTCGCAGATCGCTCAAACAGGTCGCGCAAATTTTCTGATCGGTCATGTGAGCGTCACAGATATGTTTCTGCCGCAGTAGTGCCCCAGATCTCGATTGCTCTCGCACACCGCTCAACATGTCGCGCAAATATGATGACCGGTCAGGTGCGCGACACAGAGATGCCTTCTTTTTCTGGTGACGGGTTCGATGGCAAGCGTGCCTTTCATCTTCGCGTTTTCTTCGCGGGCTCGGTGCACCCCAAAGCTTTCCGATTCTGACACGAAGCTCTGAACTTCTCGTACTTGTCCACGACGGCCTGAAGACTGGTTTCTTGTTTGGCACCATTCTTCTTGTTGACTTTGTTGTGTATGATGGCGAGCCACCCAAACAACTTTTATCGCGAGTGAATGTGTTTCTCAACTGGAGTTTCGGACAAGAATACAAGGTACGACTCTCTGCAGAACCGGCACGGCAAAACATGTCCCGCGTTCTTGAAGAAAGACATGTAGTGTTTATTTATCTTCCCTCTCATATTGCCGCGAATGTCATCGTATTCGTCCGGATCAACGGGGAAACCAGCGGCGACACAGTGTAGGAAAATGTTGTTGATATTTCTTCCAAGCCAAGTCTGCATTGCAACAAACACAACTAAACCGCCCCGAGAACTACATCACTCGCGGCCTCTTGGGTGCACCGTCGTCCGACTCCGACTCCGACTCCGACTCTGATTCCGACTCTGATTCCGACTCTGACTCCGACGATGAAGTCGACGGCGTTTCTCCGACATCCTGCAACGAACGCTTGTGACCGATGACAGCACCCCCGTTTCCCCGCGAACCTTCCCCCGCTGCGTCTTCTTCTACAGCTGCACTGCCTCTTTCTGCTTGTTTTTCGACCTCCGGTTGATCGTTGCCGTTGTTGTCGCCATCGTCGTCGCCTTTGCTTTCGCTCTCCGCCGCCTCAACCGCGGCCTCCACCACCGCGTCCACCACGTCCACCGCCGCCTCCACCGCCTGCCTCGTCCTCTCCGCCTCCTCCTCCACCACCACCACCTCCTCCTCCTGGAGGAGGAGGAGGAGGAGGGGTAGAAGAAACTAAAGCTACTGGTCCTCTTCCGGCAGCCACAGAGCGTTGGTCCGAGGGTCGACGTAGGCCCTGCGCGGATCTGTCTGGCGCCTCACGGGAAGCTTCCAGTCGGTGGACGGTAGGCTGAGCGCGGCGTCCTCGGTCCACAAGTACTCGTACCCGACGCCGCCCTTGAAGTCCTTGCTGATTGTGGTGAGCTCGCCGTCTTTGATGAACACCCAGTACTTTCTCCGGAGGGTCGGGGGTATCTCGAGCTTCGGTCCGCCCGTGCTGACCAGGATATTGTTCACCACATTCCGGGTGGCTTTGGTCCGGAGCAAGTACTCCAGGCTCTTGATGTCGACGATCCTGTCCATCTTCTGGATTCTGACGCTGCCGTCCCCGTTCTCGAGAGGCCTCTCCCAAACGTGCCTCTCGGTCACGGGCAGAGCCTTGTTCATCTCGCTGAACGCGATCAGCGCCGAACGATCCATCTGAAGCTGCGCCGACAGACTTATTCTTCTTCGGTTGGGGCGCCGGTGGTTCGGAGCTGGCACTGGGTGTCGGCTTCGTCTTGAGCTTCGAATTTGACTTGGATATCGGTGCTGATGAAGCGGAGTGCTTGAGAGACTCGACGCAAGTCTCGAGGGCCGCCATTCTCTCCTCGTACGAAGCCAGTGTGGTTTCGAGGTGCTCGATCCGAAGGTTGGCCTTGGTGATGTCCTCGTTGTTCTCCTTGATGTCGTCGTAGTTCTTGTGGATGTTTCTCTCGTTTTTCCTGATGCGCTTCAGATCATCTTCTTGGTTCTCCTCGATCTTGGACAGCTTGGAGCCGAGTGATGCGGACGATGGTGATACTGACGACGACGACATGATGGAGCTAGCTGATTGGAGAGTGGTGAGTGAGGAGGAAGAAGTGACGAGTGAGAAGTGGGGGGCAGGGGCGAGTGTTTCGAGATAAAAATTTCGAAAACTGGAACCGCCGACGATGGCGTCGTGCGTGCGCGCGCACGGTCTCGTGATTGGTGACTGACTACCGCGTTCCGTATCGATCGCTTGCTGAATCCTGAGTTCCCGGATTCCGAACGTGATGCTCGACCACCGCAGGCACGTCGACCCCGCTTCCCTCTTTGCGTCTCGAGCATAGTCTTGGATCAAGCTTGCAATGTCGATCAGTCGCCTCGGCACGGGCGCGAACAACTGCCTCATCCGTCCCTCAATGAAGTGAGGGGAGGAGGGCACTCCACCGCAAATGTTTATTTTCAGATGCGACAATTGTATTTTTTGTCACAATTCCGTAACCATGGCCACCTCCAATTTGTTCGACAGAATCAAAGACTTCTTTCGCCATGCGCTTCGTCCGAGGAGGGAAAGATCACCACGCATCGTACGAACACGTGATGCAATCTCTGCCCAAAGATGAGATGACGAAAGATGCGAACGCGAACGCGAACACAGACACAAACACAAAAGCCCAAAGATGAGATGACGAAAGATGCGAACGCGAACGCGAACACAGACACAAACACAAACCTGACCAAGGCGGGGGTGGAGTTTTTAAGAGAAGAAGGATTTCAAAGACAAGGCCGCTCCCGGTCGAAAGATGCATGTCGCCGTAATCGTCGCGACATCGATGGCGACCGGCGAAGCCGAGCGTGGACTGGACAAAGAGATCTGTGATCGGTTTCGGCGGCTGCAGGACTTCGATCGGAAGGTCATGACGGAGCTTTTCCATCTCTCAATTGTGAACGATCGAGTGCGCGTCCTGCTCGAAGACGCACTTGTTAGGAGGAAGAAGACTATCGGCATCGACATCAGGCACGAGTTCTCCGTGGAATTTGTTTTACTCTTTTTCGGTGTCGTGGAGAATGTTGTTCGCACTGGGAGACGACTGGGTGATCAGGGGTACGTGACGAGCGCGAGACTATCCTGGAGAAGCACGCGTCGTCGATCGCCACGACGTGTGAACCTTGCTTCAAAACCAAGGAGTTGAAGAAACCGCACCCGAGGCCCGTCCTCTTCCCCTCGGACGACTCATCATTTCCGCGGGCGCAGGTAGGAGGCAGGCACATCGACATCGCCACTTTCGCGAATACGAAGCTGGATCGTTGTCTGCACTAGACGAGGGAGAAGGCGATGTTCTTGGACATCATCTTCGCCGTACTTTCGCTTTCACACAAGAAACCGGTAGACGCCTTCGCCGACTTGAAGCTGGACACAACCAAGACATTTTTTTGTAGAAGGTGTTGGACAAGGCCGTTGCCGACGAAGTGCTGACCGTAATTTCCAAGACGCCTCAGGAGCTACTTCTCTTGGAGGAGGTGACGCCTCTGAAAAAAAAGAATGCAAGGCTCAAGAGCGAGATTTCTCCCACCAACCTCTCTCTCCATCGGACAACCGCCCTGCTCGAGAAGGAACGGAAGGATTGAAGGGAGATAGAAAAGATAAGAATCGCTTGCTGACAGCGAACGGCAACCTCAGATTCAGAGCTGACATGGCCGAGAGCAGGCTCAAGAATCAAGGAAGAAACGACGCGAGTCGCGGACGTTGCTGCCGACAATGCATCGTTGACGGCGGCCCGTGCCGAACAAAGGAAAAAGGTGGCCGCGATCACCGGAGAGAAGAAGCGCGCCCGCGACGTGTACGAAGGCGAGCTTGCTCGGGCCAAGGTGGACAACGAGCGCCTTCGGGACATGTACGAGATCGAGAAAGCCAAGCTCGCCGAGGCCGACGTTGAGAATAGGCGTCTGAGACATGAAATGAAGAAGCCTCGTGGTGACCGCCCGAAAATATGCCCGCTTCAGCTCGCAGACTCGATGTACTTCGGGAGTGGGTGTCGGACACCCTAAATTGTTTTGAGGTGCTGAGGGTAACAGTCGTTCATGAAAGTGAGTATGGAAGCTCTTGAGGCGCATAGGGCCATGTCTTGGCCTTTGTGCACGAGTTGGATTGGCTGGAAGTGGTCGTCTTCAAGCCACAAACAGATGTAAAATTCCTTGTTGTGGGTGAGTTCATCCGGAACACACAGCCGTTCTTTGATTTCATGGTCGATGACGACCACGGCGATGGAACAGTGGAGAGACTTGAGAAAAGCACCGAACGTCACAGTGTTGATCCAGCAGTTGGTGTGGAGGACGTGCTCCGCCAATTGGGACACGGAATCGAACGTTGTTTTGTTATTGGCGTGGCAATGTCGTTGTACGCATCCAAGTATTCTTGGTCGATGCTGATCGACCACATGTATCTCGCGAACTTTGGCGAGAAGTTGTCGGGTGACTCCAGCCCGTGCTGAAGGAAAGCTGTGCCAGTGATTCTTCAATAATTTTTTAATGTTTTCACTATGCTTCCATGTGTGAATGGACTCGTTCAGCGCCGTTGCGATCGACGAAAAAAAAACACGACCCATCGGCATCGACGGGGAACAACCGAATCGACCAGTCCTCGATCATGTCGATGAAATGAAGCAAAATTACAATTCAACAACGACAAACGCGTCGTCTACTACCCGTCCACATCATCCATGTGGCCCACATGCTCGTGTGCGTTGCCGAATACGTGAAGGTCCTCGTGCACGTGAAAGTTCCTGTGCACGTGAAGGTTCTTGTGAACGTTCAAGTTCTTGTGTGGGTCCTCCTCTTCCTCCTCCTCCTCTTCCTCTTCCTCCTTCTTCTCCTCCTCCTCCTCCTCTTCCGATGCTTCTTGCTTCTCGGATTGTTCCTTCTTCTCCTCCGATTCTTCCTTCTCCTTTTCGTATTCCTCTTCGCTGGATTCTTCTTCCTCCTCTTCCTCGTTCTCGTGCTCTTCCTCTTCCTTTTTCTTTTTCCTTAACGTTGGTTCATCAGCGAGTACTTGTCCAGTTGACCGGGGCTCCTTTTCACCTTCTTCATCACGTGATACTGCTTACAAAACGACTGATCGTACTTGTACATATCCACGGATTCCCTCAGGCGCTTAAGTTCGCGTTCGTTCTCCTCCAACTCTTCCTGCTGAGACGAGTTGCTCTTGAGAGATGCCAGGAACTTTTGCCTGGCCGATTCTTCAGTCTCCTTCATAGAAGAAATTTTCTGCGTCAAAGCCGAGACTTTGGCCTTGTATTTACCCAACTTTCTGATGAAAAACGTAGTGTTCGCAATCTCGGGCACCGCTTCCAGCACCTGGTCCACCTGAGTCTTGTGGAGGATAGTATCCATGAAAAATGCTTTCACGGGCTCCAGTTCAAGGGCGAGATAGGTCTTCACTGGCCCACACGCTGCGAGGGAGACAATGGCGCACATGACCTGAAGGAACTCGTCCTTCTCCGGCCTGTCCAAGAGAGCGCCTTTCAGCGTGTCCGTTGTAGCCTGGTCGAAGTCGATGTGTTCACGTCCGATCACCACGCGCGGAAGTTTGCCGTCGGATGGGAACAGATTGTTTTTCACCCGAGGTTTCTTCAGCGCCTCGATGTTGAAGCATGGCCAGAACTTGTTGGCGATGGATGAAACATGTTCTCCGGAAATAAGCCAAGCAGCCTCCATGTTCGCCACTGTCACGCCCGCAAGGTATCCGAGATCGGTCAGAGGCTCGCCGCGACGCACAAGGCTTTTTAAGACGTACATGTAGAGAAGGATGAACTCCACCCGAAGCTCGTGATCGATGTCCGCCTTGATGTTTCTCTTCTTCGGAAGCATGGCGTTGTCCAAGAGCACAACGGTCCTTCCGGTACAAAGAGACAGGCTGAAGATCTTCATCATGACTTTGACATCGTAGTTTTCGAGGCCCCGAAAGCGCTTGCAAAATTCGTTCGCCAGGCCATCCTTCTCGTCATCGTACCCGATGTAGATCGCCACGTACAGCGCGATGCTCACCTTGCGGCCCGCGTTGTCGCCGTCGTCAATACTCTTCTTTAGGTACTCCAGAGAAGCTTTGATAAGATTGATGTTTCTATGCTTCGTAGACTCGACAGGAGGGAGGAGTTTGATGACTTCTTGGTAAGACGAGGCGTGCTCATCCTTTCCTCGGACGAACCGAATGGCGTCTGAACATACCGAAATCCTCTGAGACAGATCGGAGTATGAGGTCATGATCCAAAGTGAGCCTGTTTTCAACCTCCGAAAACAAAATTAACGAAAAACAATAGGTAATCTCAGACACAACACGTTTGACGAGATTTTTTTTCAATCATTTGGAAAGTGTCATGGTCACCAACGACGATCGGATGATCTTCATCGATGACGAAAATCACTGAACGAGTTTTCGGATGATCGGCGACGATGACGAACATCACTGAACGAGTTTCGGATGATCGTCGACGATGACGAACACCATTTTTGAACAAACCTCCATCGAGTGATCGCGTTCGACGACCACCGTTCGATGAAACGACGATTTGCTGTCTACTTTGGGCAAAGAAATATGTCCATGATGTCGGGGGGAGCATGGTTGGACGACACTGTCTGGCGAAAGTAGCGCGATCACGAAAATTTCGTCTCTGGTGCTGCTTGAGTTGGATCAGGCGCTCAGAGTGTGGGGGCAGACCGTGTTGTGCGCAACACCCGTCTCACAACCAACTTTACCAAAACTCTGGAAAAACGGAATATCAAAACCAGGGTCTGGCAAGTTTCGATTTACAAAGTTTCATTTTTTTGAAAGTGTCAAGCGATGCTGATCCGTCGGACGGTCAACTCGATATTGGAGCATATTCTGTCGGAAAGTGAAACTATCATTGATCGTCAAGGACGATCGGATGATCGTCATCGATGGCGAACATCACATAACGGATGTTCGGATGATCGTGATTGATTGTGAACATCACTTAACGGATGTTCGTATGATCGTCATCGATGACGAACATCACTGAACGAGTTTTCGGATGATCGTTTTCGATGACGAACACCAATTTGTAACAAAACTCCATCGTGTGATCGCGTTCGACGACCATCATTCGATAAAACGACTATTTGCTATCTACTTTGGGCAGAGAAATAAGTCCATGATGTCGGGGGAAGCATGGTTGGACGACACTGTCTGGCGAAAGTAGCGCGACCATGAAAAGTTCGTTTCTGGTGCTGCTTGAGTTGGATCAGGCGCTCAGGGTGTGGGGGCAAACCGCGATGTGCGCAACACCCGTTTCACAACCAACTTTACCAAAACTCTGGAAAAAACGGGATCTCAAAACCAGGGTCTGGCAAGTTTCGATTTACAAAGTTTCATTTTTTTGAAAGTGTCAAGAGATGCTGATCCGTGGGGTAGTCAACTCGACATTGGAGCATATTCTGTCGGAGAGTGGAAGAATCATTGATCGCCAAGGACGATCGAATGATCGTCATCGATGGCGAACATCACTTAACGGATGTTCGGATGATCGTCATCGATGACGAACATCACTGAACGAGTTTTCGGATGATCGTTTTCGATGACGAACACCAATTTGTAACAAAACTCCATCGTGTGATCGCGTTCGACGACGATAATTCGATGAAACGACGATTTGCGGTCTATTTTGGGCAAAGAAATATGTCCATGATATCGGGGGGAGCATGGTTGGACGACACTGTCTGGCGAAAGTAGCGCGACCATGAAAATTTCGTTTCTGGTGCTGCTTGAGTTGGATCAGGCGCTCAGAGTGTGGGGGCAAACCGTGTTGTGCGCAACACCCGTCTCACAACCAACTTTACCAAAACTCTGGAAAAAACGGAATATCAAAACCAGGGTCTGGCAAGTTTCGATTTACAAAGTTTCATTTTTTTGAAAGTGTCAAGCGATGCTGATCCGTCGGACGGTCAACTCGACATTGGAGCCTATTCTGTTGGAAAGTGAAAGTATCATCGATCGCCAAGGACGATCGGATGATCGTCATCGATGGCGAACGTCACTTAACGAATGTTCGTATCATCGTCATCGATGACGAACATCACTTAACGAATGTTCGGATGATCGTCATCGATGACGAACATCACTGAACGAGTTTTCGGATGATCGTTTTCGATGACGAACACCAATTTGTAACAAAACTCCATCGTGTGATCGCGTTCGACGACGATAATTCGATGAAACGACGATTTGCGGTCTATTTTGGGCAAAGAAATATGTCCATGATATCGGGGGGAGCATGGTTGGACGACACTGTCTGGCGAAAGTAGCGCGACCATGAAAAGTTCGTTTCTGGTGCTGCTTGGGTTGGATCAAGCGCTTAAAGTGTGGGGGCAATCCACGATGTACGCAACACCCGTTTCACAACCAACTTTACCAAAACTCTGGGAAAAACGGAATCTCAAAACCAGGGTCTGGCAAGTTTCGATTTACAAAGTTTCATTTTTTTGAAAGTGTCAAGCGATGCTGATCCGTCGGACGGTCAACTCGACATTGGAGCATATTCTGTTGGAAAGTGAAAGTATCATTGATCGCCAAGGACGATCGGATGATCGTCATCGATGGCGAACATCACTTAACGGATGTTCGGATGATCGTCATTGATTGTGAACATCACTTAACGGATGTTCGTATGATCGTCATCGATGACGAACATCACTGAACGAGTTTTCGGATGATCGTTTTCGATGACGAACACCTTTTTTGAACAAAACTCCATCGCGTGATCGCGTTCGACGACGATCATTCGATGAAACGACGATTTGCTGTCTGTTTTGGGCAGAAAAATAAGTCCATGTTTTGGACGATACTGTCTGGCGAAAGTAGCGCGACCATGAAAATTTCGTTTCTGGTGCTGCTTGAGTTGGATCAGGCGCTTAAAGTGTGGGGGCAAACCGTGTTGTGCGCAACACCCGTCTCACAACCAACTTTACCAAAACTCTGGAAAAAACGGAATCTCAAAACCAGGGTCTGGCAAGTTTCGATTTACAAAGTTTCATTTTTTTGAAAGTGTCAAGCGATGCTGATCCGTCGGACGGTCAACTCGACATTGGAGCATATTCTGTTGGAAAGTGAAAGTATCATTGATCGCCAAGGACGATCGGATGATCGTCATCGATGGCGAACATCACTTAACGGATGTTCGGATGATCGTTATTGATGGCGAACATCACTGAACGAGTTTTCGGATGATCAGCGACGATGACGAACACCTCTTTTGAACAAAGCTCCATCGTGTGATCGCGTTCGACGACGATCGTTCGATGAAAGGACGATTTGCTGTCTATTTTGGGCAGAGAAATATGTCCATGTTGTCGGGGGAAGCATGGTTGGACGACACTGTCTGGCGAAAGTAGCGCGATCATGGAAATTTCGTTTCTGGTGCTGCTTGAGTTGGATCAGGCGCTCAGAGTGTGGGGGGCAAACCGTGTTGTGCGCAACACTCGTTTCACAACCAACTTTACCAAAACTCTGGAAAAAACGGAATATCAAAACCAGGGTCTAGCAAGTTTCGATTTACAAAGTTTCATTTTTTTGAAAGTGTCAAGCGATGCTGATCCGTCGGACGGTCAACTCGACATTGGAGCATATTCTGTCGGAGAGTGAAAGTATCATTGATCGCCAAGGACGATCGAATGATCGTCATCGATGGCGAACATCACTTAACGGATGTTCGTATGATCGTCATCGATGACGAACATCACTGAACGAGTTTTCGGATGGTCGGTTTCGATGACGAACACCTCTTTTGAACAAAACTCCATCGTGTGATCGCGTTCGACGACGATCGTTCGATGAAACGACGATTTGCTGTCTATTTTGGGCAGAGAAATATGTCCATGTTGTCGGGGGAAGCATGGTTGGACGACACTGTCTGGCGAAAGTAGCGCGACCATGAAAATTTCGTTTCTGGTGCTGCTTGAGTTGGATCAGGCGCTCAGAGTGTGGGGGCAAACCGTGTTGTGCGCAACACCCGTTTCGCAACCAACTTTACCAAAACTCTGGAAAAAACGGAATCTCAAAACCAGGGTCTGGCAAGTTTCGATTTACAAAGTTTCATTTTTTTGAAAGTGTCAAGCGATGCTGATCCGTCGGACGGTCAACTCGACATTGGAGCATATTCTGTTGGAAAGTGAAAGTATCATTGATCGCCAAGGACGATCGGATGATCGTCATCGATGGCGAGCATCACTTAACGGATGTTCGGATGATCGTCATCGATGACGAACATCACTGAACGAGTTTTCGGATGATCGTTTTCGATGACGAACACCAATTTGTAACAAAACTCCATCGTGTGATCGCGTTCGACGACGATAATTCGATGAAACGACGATTTGCGGTCTATTTTGGGCAAAGAAATATGTCCATGATATCGGGGGGAGCATGGTTGGACGACACTGTCTGGCGAAAGTAGCGCGACCATGAAAATTTCGTTTCTGGTGCTGCTTGAGTTGGATCAGGCGCTCAGAGTGTGGGGGCAAACCGTGTTGTGCGCAACACCCGTCTCACAACCAACTTTACCAAAACTCTGGAAAAAACGGAATATCAAAACCAGGGTCTGGCAAGTTTCGATTTACAAAGTTTCATTTTTTTGAAAGTGTCAAGCGATGCTGATCCGTCGGACGGTCAACTCGACATTGGAGCATATTCTGTTGGAAAGTGAAAGTATCATTGATCGCCAAGGACGATCGGATGATCGTCATCGATGGCGAACATCACTTAACGGATGTTCGTTTGATCGTCATTGATGACGAACATCACTTAACGGATGTTCGTATGATCGTCATCGATGACGAACATCACTGAACGAGTTTTCGGATGATCGTTTTCGATGACGAACACCAATTTTTAACAAAACTCCATCGTGTGATCGCGTTCGACGACGATCATTCGATGAAACGACGATTTGCGGTCTATCTTGGAGAGAGAAATATGTCCATGATGTCCGGGGGAGCATGGTTGGACGACACTGTCTGGCGAAAGTAGCGCGACCATGAAAATTTCGTTTCTGGTGCTGCTTGAGTTGGATCAGGCGCTCAGAGTGTGGGGGCAAACCGTGTTGTGCGCAACACCCGTTTCGCAACCAACTTTATTTACCAAAACTCTGGGATAAACGGAATCTCAAAACCAGGGTCTGGCAAGTTTCGATTTACAAAGTTTCA